AATTTCATAGAAATATTCCTAATTTGTTACAGCTCCAAAAGCACACATGCACTCCTGTGTTTGTTCAGTTTTTCAGATAGAAAAGATATATGCAACTACTAGATTGCTTGCTTGATTTGAATATTAATGATTTTATACCACAGGAGAGTTGAAGTTTAAGTTAATTTTGCTAAAATGAAATGATGCAACAGGTTACTTCAACTTTCTAGCTTCCTCTGCTCTCTTGTGGATGATAAATACTTAGAATACAAGGATGTAAGAAAGCACAAGAACATGACCTCTTTCAGTTCTTGTGAGAGCCGCCTTCCACTGAAGACTGGCTGGCAGAATTAGCACTGACCTGCAGTTAACACGGGAAGTGTTTCTTGCCTACAGCCCATTTCACAGCATCTTTTACTTCTCTGTTCCTGAGGCTGTAAATCAGTGGATTTAACATGGGAATCACTAACGTATAGAACACAGAAACCACCTTTTCCTGTTCCACGGAATACTGGGAGCTGGGCTGAATGTAATTAAAACTTAAGGTGCCATAGAACACCGTCACGGCAGTCAGGTGAGAGGCACAGGTGGAGAAGGCTTTCCGTCGGCCCGAAGCTGAGTGGATTCGCAGGATAGCGAAGGCAATGAACACGTAGGAAATGATCACAACCAGGAAAGTGCCCATTGCAATGATTCCAGATAACAATAGAAGCAAAAACTCATTCATGGAGGTGTCAGAACACGACAGTTTTAGCAGTGGAGGAATGTCACAGAAGAAGTGGCCCACGACGTTGGGGCCACAAAAGGACAGTCTGCCCAAGCTCACTGTGTGTGTCAGTGAGTTGATCAGCCCACCGGCACAGGACACAGTCACGAGCGTCACACGCTTCCTCTTGGACATGGCCATGTTGTACAGGAGAGGGTTGGCGATGGCCACATATCGGTCATAAGCCATCACCGAAAGCAGGAAGCCTTCAGTGGTGATGAACACCCCAAAAAATAAATGCTGAACGATACAGCCTGAGAACGAGATGGTCTCCCGCACCACCAAGAAACTGATCAGCAATTTCGGTGCAATGACGGACGAATAGCAGGCATCTACAAACGAGAGGCAGCTAAGGAAAAAGTACATGGGTGTGTCGAGCTTTGGGGTGACTTGTATTAGGAGGATCATGCCCACATTTCCCACCAAGGTAATGGCGTAAATCACCAGGAACAACACAAAAAGCACGACTTTCAGTTCTGCACGAGCTGTCAGTCCCAAAAGAATGAACTCAGTAACTGCAGAAATGTTACCTCCAGCCATTCCTTTCTGTAAAATGTAAGATGATCAGAACGAAGAATTAGAAAGGACACAAAATAACCTGGTATCTACTAAAATCACCTAGAAATGCTAATAGCATCCTTAGATTACAAAGATCAATTTGGTGAACCTAAGTCTCCTTGTTTACAATATTAGGAATTTGATGTTGTTTCTTCGTTTTCTTTCCTTTTCTTAAAGTGATAGTTTTGATGCAGTTCCACAAAGGCGTATATAAAAATATTTTAGCTCTCAAATCTGCACTGTATTTTTAAAGTGTCTGCAGAATAGAAATTGATATTCATATAAAAGACGTGTGGGGATTGATTGGAAGCGGCGAGATTAACTTCAAGATCTATTTTGTTTTTACTGTGAATATAGAAGGAGTTAATGGCAAAATGATCTAAAATCAGTTGTACTATTTACTGTGGGGTTAATCCACAAATGTATTCTGATAAAACTGAAGAATCAGCAAAGATCACAGAGTAATGGTTGGGCTCCAAAGGTGACGTCGTGCTGGGCGTGGACGCGCACTGCGGTCCGTGGGTCTCCAGAGACTCCCAGGGCCACCATAGATAAAGACTCCTTGGAACACCCGGAGCACAAACATCTTTGACTTGTTTAAGTGAAACAATAGTCAACATGACGCTTGGAAAGACTGAGTAATATGTTCATCAAAATGTATTTATTTTCATTAAGGTGCTCATTCATGCATAATGTGTGACATGTTGCATCACTTTTATAAAAAAACCATATTATATAATATGTGCAGAAGTATACAATAATAAAATTTAAAGTTTGGTTTCTTCCAGTTATCTGTAGCTCTAGAACACTTTTTTATGTTGTTTGTATCATGTTAGAAGTTTGGCATTACAGATTTTTTAAGTTTTCATTAGACTTCAGTTATTTACACTTCTAACTCAAATGTGTTATACTTTAGGACACACTTTATGCATGTAAAATAAATATTTTATATTTGTTTATCATAGTGATTATAGGACTTTCTTACCTTTCTTTTTCCCCTATCAGTCTCTATTTCTCAGTTACCACACTCCGTATTTTGTTTAAAATATACATTTCAGAAAAGGAATAAATCCAGCGACAAAACTGATGGTACCTACCTCAGACTTGCTGTCATTTTAGTAATCCATGTCAACTGCCATAAAAAGTCATTCTTAGCGTTAAATCAAGCTGTCACTAAAACCATTATGGCTCTGCTCTTTATGAACTGTGTCACCTTGAGAAATTCACTTACCTATTCTTCACATCATTGCACCCGTACTACAGGGCTTTTGCAAAGGAAAATGAAAAATACAATATGCAAAGGTTAGGTGCTGTTTTAGAAGTATAAATATTAAAATTATAAATAAATAATGAGATGCAAAAGTAAGCATGTGAATGATATGTTCATGGATAAAAGCTGCCTGAATGTTTTGTTTAGGGGACATAATACGAATATATTTAAATCATGAAGAAATTGTCTTAGTGGTCAACCAATTTCGCATACCCAATTTTAAACCTCTGCTTTATTCTATTCAAAATGAGAATTAGATGGTAGTGAAAATCAGTGGTTCACAATTTATTATGAAATACTTTATATGTTTACTTACAATGTTGAACTACAAAATATTTTGCTATAATACAAAATTCATCTTATAAATTATATTAAAAGTTGACAGTCAAGATGAGTGTATTATCATGACATGTCAAAATATTTCAAGATCATACCCATACTAGTATAGGTATATTTCAATAGACACTGAAATTAACTAATGTTAAGTAAAATTAAATTTCCAGCATCTGAATCAGTTTCAAGTGAAGCAATCAATAGACTTTTATGTGTCCTGCAAGCAATGACTAAGGCAGCATAGATTGATCACTCAATCTATGACATAAAAATACAATACTTTTCTAAGAACTTGTACATTTTCTAAACTACTACTTATTCCCTTCTGAGTTCCAATTAGATGACATGTTCTCAAAGAAAAATAAAACAGAAGGATACAAAGTAAAATTTCACTAAATAGCTTTTAATATTCTTAATCATAGGATCCTATCACCCCTGTACATTTCTAAATATTAATTTAAATAGAGATAAAAACAGAATGTTTTCAAACTAGATGTAACTTACCAAAATAAATATTTTAAAAGTTCAGGTTTGGAAAATTTGTCCCTCCTCTTAAGTTTTTTGCCCTTTACTAAGAACCAACTTCAATTAATGGCGAAATGGAATGCAGTTATTAAATATTTTCATGATATGTCGCTGAAAATAACAAAGCAATCAAATATAAATGCTAATAACTGATAGATGAAAATGCCATAATCAAGTGGAAAAGCCTTTACCTCTTTCTTTTGTGATGACAAATTCAAGTAAAATCTCAGCTACATATATTATCAACTCTGTTGAGCACTTTCACAGCTTAGAAGTAACGTGCAGACGAAACCTTAGGGCGTGCTCTGTCTATGTCTTAAGGGACGTTGGAATTTCCCATGACTCGCATGTATCCCTAAACTATGCAATTAACCAAATTCCCACGGGTACTTGAAAGAATAGGAACTATCCTGGGCTATTCTCAAGTTCAGTAGACTATTAGAAATCAATACCTGAAAACAATTAAACAGAAGTACACATCACCTGTACTATTGGTTAGCTGTAAATAAGATAAGGGCAAGTTAAGTTTCATGTAGATGCACAAGACAAATGTCACTATTAATAAGTCCATTTTAAGAGAAAAATAAATGCACAAATAAGAAAACATAACGTAATTTCTGACTTTTGGGTTACATATATTCCAGGTGTATTGTCAATTCTCTACTTTTAATTTAATGGGAAGAAAGCATTAGAAGAATTATTTCCATCAACATAATTTTCTAAGGTACAATATACAGTAGGTATTATTTTCAATCTGGGAAATAAGGGAGCTGTCAAAAAATATCATAGATTCATTGCTTAAAAAAATGAGACATAACATGCTCCCTCAGAAGTCTTGCATTGTAATATTTAGAAAACATGACATAAAAGT